AATTTTCAACGATTTGCGTTAATAATACCGGGATAGTGTTCAGGTCTAGTGATCGATGAGCAAGGGTAAAAAAAAAATATATCATCAATAGTAATATGTCTGAGTGGCCTAATCCGTGCACGGTATAGTGGTTTCTAAATTCTATGTAATTTATCCGGTTGTAATGTGACAAGACATCCGTTGGATCGAAAATTATTTTTGTTTCCTTTGATGGCTCGCGTTATTATTATGTTTTATATTTATATTATGACTTAAACTAGGATTTTTTTCCACCATTCCAACGGGAAATAGTGTTATCATGTCCGTCGTAACGTCCTGTGACTATGAAGCCGTGTAAAGTGTCAATTAATATTATCATAAATTATATTATTAATTCGGCGTACCAATGTGTTGCCGGGTGATTTGCTTTTTACCGTGTCACGACACGGTCCGAAGCACATGATTTGATTTTATCTAACACATTTTCGCACACTGTATGTCGAAATGTCCATTTTAGTTTAGGACACAATAATGTACCATGTCCGTGTCATACGCATTGAATGCATACCATCTATAGAGTCGATTACTCTAGCCGGTGGATCCTTTGGCCGCGGTTCAAAATAGTACCTAATGCAAATCAGACTTCGGTTTTGGAATAAACTCAAACGCCGGACGTTTATCACTTACCTGATATAGTTTTAAACCCAACTTGCAAATGCGACCATTAGAGAGATTATGTTGATTTCGTCTACAGTTATTATTATTGATAGACCAACCGTCTAATTGTAATTCGGACTAAACCGCGTTGCCCAGGTGTTACACTTACAGCTAATCCCGAAACGCATTATAACTTTCAAACAGAACACTATTGTTCTCATCTATTATTCAATTATAGGCCGTTCGAACGGTACTCGATAATTATTATACACAGATATTACACAACAACAGCCACTTCCGAGATGTACCTACACGATAGATAATAATATGTTTTTTTAGTTGTTAAAAAATTAATCCTGTCCCCGTTACTGCACGTCATGATGTTTTGTTCGCGTTTGTTAGCTCATTTTTTGTCATTGTTTTTGTTGCAAACCGCATGCGGAGCGAGTGAATATCAAAGTCAACGAGATTTGAAAAAAAATTAAAAAATACTTTAACCGACCGTAATGTGATCATCGTGTTGAAAAGATAAAGTTGATATTTTTTAAACGGTTGTCATCAGCATTTGCGTTAAAAATATATATGTATATATATATAAAATGTCAGCTTATAATAAACGGGTAAAAAAAAAACACACTGACGGCGAACAGATTAAAAATAGGAGAAATTAAATTTACTTAAACGAAATTAAAGTTGCGCAGTAAATGGGATTGCGTTTTGCTCGGAATGTTGTTTATTATAAAGAGTTCGCTTTAAGCGTATAATCCCAAACGTTAGGAGTATCAATTTCTTGTAATGGTTTTTCTCGGACCTCGAGATAGTAATAATAATAATAAAAATAAAAAAAATACTGAAAATTTCCGTTTGTTTTCTTCTCGTCTAGTTGCTTAACAAAATTATTCGTCAAATTCTAACTGTGGCAACAGTTAATGATACCGTCAATTTTAATTTACTAGATCACAATTTTCCTATCACTCACATTGATAGCAATATTATATTACTTAAACCATACACTAGTATTGTTTGTATGTTGTTTCGACGATAATATTTTCAACGGAATATTGAATTTTAAAAGTACAAATACATATTACAGTCGATTGCACAACTTATTACCAAGCGACTGTTGCACAATACGTCTTGATGTTGTTTTCTATATTGTTTCAAACGTTTTTTTTTTTTTTTGAGCTGTGAATGTTTTTCTTCAAATCAAAACTATTACAAACAAAGTAAAAGAAAAAGGAACATATCGGCCGCGCTTCGTAATATGTGAAATCCAAACGTTTACCCAACGGTATCGCTATCAGAGTATTTACAGTAATATTTTTGAAACGCGTTTGTCTAAACTTCACTTCAGTGTGTATGTCTCGCGAAATCGTTTTATTGTGTGACAAATCTTTGAAATAGTTTGGGCGCTGAATTTTTTTTTACATGTATATGTGCAAACAGTAGATATGTGTTATTCTGATTTGACAGCTTTTCTGTATAGTGCCACGATGTCTGGGGGAACAACAATATCTCGGTACCGAATTGTGCTCGGTCGTATATCAATTTTTATTGCCGCCGAGTAGGTTTGTATGTGGGACATTTGAATCCGCAGAAGAAATAATATAAAAAATGTATAATCAAATAATACATAATATAAGTACACAATATACGCGTCGTTTACATTGGACGATATCATTATTGCCCGCCCAAAATTTTACAGCTAATATTTACATTAAAAAAAAAAAAAAAAATGAACAAAACAAACACACTTAAAATCAGTAAATTCGACTTAACCGAACCGAATTGATGTTTGTCTTGTATTGTAATTAACATATTAATACATTACAGTGGATAGTGCACTCTGAATCGATTTTGTTCAGTAGGCAAAATTACACAGCATAATTTTGGTTATTTTTTTTTTTGTTATTATCTTTAACATCGCCGTGGTTGTTATTTTGGGTTTTTTTTTTTTGTTATTCTTATTCTTATTATTGTTTTACAGAGTAGTTGTTATAATTGAATTATGTGCGACAGACGCCGGTGGTTTATGTAAAAAGCAACGTCGATGTAATGTAAATATTATTTTTTTTTTCTCTTTGAACGATATAATTATTTGAATTGGTAAAGGAAAAAAAAACAAGTTTTGAATTTTCTTAGTTACCAACAGCGATGGGTTTTACACGCGGTTGGTATTGTTATTATATTTTTGTCCCGTTGACACAGATGCCCTTGATTTGCCTATCCGAGACGCCGTTTTGGCAATTGCCACAGTGATCAAATGCCGTTTATTATGGATGAAAAAAAATGTATTGTCGCCATTCACCAAACACCAAACAGGAAAAATATTTATTTATAGTTTACAGGCTGAGCTCTGTGAATACAAAGTGGTATATACAGTATAGTTTTAACTGAATAAATCATAATGTTAGAGAATTCTAATTAAAAAACAACGGTATGATTTCAAACGTATGATACATGAATGGTGAAACAGTACCGTGTCAAATATCGGTCTAACCCTTTCGAGGGTGTCGTAAGAGATTCTAATGAATAGGTCCGCAACAAGTAGTAAGTACACAAGTCCAAAAAAGGTCATAGCGCAGCGCAAGTGTACTATACTATCATCATAACACAAATATATGTTATTAATATTATATTGTTGCAGTATAAAGTGATAAAAAAAAAAAAACAAAATACCGGTATATGTTTTTTTAATCATGTTTATAACATGTAACATATTATAACGACCGTAAAAATAAGGATTTTATCCATAATATTTAATTTGAAATAACGTTGAATTCCTTCACGAGAACGGTATAAAAACAAATAATATTTCTTTGAAAAAGCCAAATAAAAAAATAACATTTTTTTCATAGTACCTCGCATGCAGTATAAGCTTGAGCAGATTTTGCATCAAACAAAGAGCAAAATTCAATACTCGTATACGTCTAATTGGCACGACGGTGGTTTTGCAAAAAATAAAAAAAAATACAATTATATAATCGCGTTTTTGTATACAAATTGTTAACATATTTTTTTGTGACCGTTAAAAATCAAACAATGTATTTTTCGGCGAAATCAAATTTAATACAATAATAACATAAAACTATTTCGGGGCAACTCGGTAAACGTTTTGATTTTTTACCGGCAAAACAACGTTAATAAAAAAAAAGTCTTTTATATTTTACAGGAACGAACAATATTTTGTTATTGTTGTTGGCTTTTTTCGTACTTAATTTTCACGGCGATCCATCGATTCCGAGTAAAAGTTTTTTTTTTTTTTTTTACTCTTCCTGTAAATCTTACGAGAGTCGCAATCAAAATCGCAGGCAGTTAAATAGCGGCAATTATTGTAAACACTTTTACTTTTCGTTTGTTCGGCCATTGTGTTTTTCTTCTTATTAGCATTATTTTCATCGTTAAAATCGCCGGCAACAGACATCAGCTGTCCGGCAACGCGACGTACCGTTTTTAGTCGTTTAGCAGAGGCACGTCGACGATAGTTTAATACCAAAGTTTTCGACTGACGCGCGTCCGGGTTGTCTTATTAAAATTACTATTATTGTTATTATTCGAGTCGGTTGAAAAAGTTGGTTTTACACCTACCCGCCGTGCCACCAAACGCCACATACAAAGATTATGTTGTACAACGAAAGACTGTGTGTACGCGACGAATGAACTTTTTGTGTTTATATTAAAACGACGTTGCCGTCACCGTCGCTATATCTGTTGTCTTTTCGCCGGTCGTCTGTGTAAAAGGATACAATATATAGTATATATATATATATATATATTCATAAGGGATTTAATAGTGTTATGTCGGCAAGCGGAGAAAGGGCGTTAAAACTTTTGCACCGTAATCCTTTTACGGGTGTTAATGAAACTATACGGCGGCGCACACGTGCCCCGTGTAATCAAACCGCAGGGCAAAAGTCGGTTAAAAGATGATAACAATGTCTTGGAAAAACAATAATATTTTAAGATAAGAGGTAAAGACTTTTTTTCATTCGTGCAGTCATACTGGTGTTAGTAGCCCTTCTGCTGCAATAATGTGTTAGTTCATCTCTGTATATTATTATTACTCTACAAATCAAACTAATGTCTGCCGCGTGTCATGTGTTGCAGGTCTGAGTGGCAGCCCGTGGCCGGAAGAGGGTGAACGGAATCGTCCGGTGAAAACGATGTGCCGGCGCCGATGTCGGTGTAGCCGCGTCCGGGCCGATACCTATTGCCGCGGTGGCCGCGTAACCGGTGCGGCGGAATCGCGGGTGCCTGCGACGATACCGCCGGTAACGGGCGTCCGTCCGACGGCGGTGCGGTGAATGGACGGCGTCGCGCTCGACACCCCGTGACAGTACACAGCCGCGGCGGCAGGCCGGCCAATGATCGCGGTGTTGGTGGCCACGCTATGTTTGACGGTGACCGGAGACGACGGCGGCGGAGCGTCCGCGGCCACGCTCACGCGCGTCGTGACCACGCGCTACGGTAAGCTGCAGGGCGTCGTCCACACGGTAGAAGCCATGTCCAGGCGGACGCCCTCGAGCGCGGGCACCGGCAACGACGCCAACGACCGGTCCCCGTCCGTCGACACGTTCCTCGGCGTCCCTTACGCTACGCCGCCGATCGGGTCCAATCGGTTCGGTCCCACCAGGACGCCGACACCGTGGGACGGCGTCCGGTTGGCCGACGCGTTCGGGCCCGTATGCCCGCAACGTTTGCCCGACGTGTCCAACGAGACGGCCGCCCTTCAACGCATGCCTGTCGGTCGACTCGTCTATCTCAAGCGGCTGTTGCCTTACCTGCGCAACCAGAGTGAGGACTGCTTGTACCTCAACATCTACGCACCCGCCCAAGGTAAGCGTCAATTTTTCATCTTACTACAATAAAATATGCTTAACAGTATGCAACTTCTTATAAGTTATGATCAGCGTGTATAAAGTGCATTGCTGCATAAGAGTAAACAAATCGTCTAAAGCAAGTTGTTTTTTTGTTATATCGACGAGAAAATTCAAGTGCAGGGTAAGCATTCACTGAAAAAAAGTTTTATTTTTTCGGAAATATGTTTCTTAGAAATCTAAGAATAACCAAAAAAAGGTATCGGTATTTCTAAATTCAGGTAGAACTTCTTTGAAATTTGGAGCAAAATAACCCCATGTTACGGTATAATATGAGCTGAATAGACCAAGAAGTGCTCAAGGAATTTTTCGAATACCATAGTTCATTCTATTGGTATACATCAAATGAGTTCCAAAAATAATACTTGATATTAAAAGGAATAAAACGATTTTACTGCTTGTGCAAACATGGTTTGCCTTTTTTTGTACGACATTCTGTGTATTTAGTATAAAGACATGTTTTAGAAGACCACGAGGGAAGTCAATGTTTTTTTGTTATGAGTTCCGTAAAGGAATTACTTATTTATATGTTAATACAAAATTATGTATAAACATTAAATACCGTCGTCTCAGCTTCAAGACGAAGTTAAACATAAGAAGGATATTTTTAAGTACAGCTTAGTCTACATTTCTCAAATTATTAAAAATATGTATTTTACGGAACAGAGGTTATCTTTTTTTTACCGGAAGAAAAGTACATATTTTATCTGATTATATTATTATATAATGCGGAAATAGAAATCGCCTTTCCTGGAAACCAAAATGGGTAAATTTATAAAAGTGTACTTTGTTGACTTTGTGTGATGCGGTTTTAATTTTATGTGTGTTTTTTTAACTCAAGCAGGTCTGGTTTTTTTTTTATTAGGGAACCGTTTGCTTGCGAATAGCACTAAATTTAGTGGAAATTTGCATACACTAAATATATATCACAGTTAAACGACTATAAAAGTAGAAACACTCATGCATTATAGTATATATATGTAGTTCAATTATTGTTATGCGTTGAAGCTCATCGAGTTCACTCGAGAAGAAAATTAAACTTAAATACGTACGCTATACGGTATAAGTAAATTCAATGATATAGATATAGCAAATGGGTTATATCACACACAATCGTTAAAACGCCTTACTTGAATTTGACGACTTCATATTTTGTTGACAGATCTAAAAACTAACGATAGGTATATGTATATTGAAATAATTATCCTTGAAAATAACCCAACAATAATTAAAAAATGGATTTATACAAGTTTGTTTCTTATTCATTATAAGCATTCATTAGATATTAATAATTTCTTTATAATATATAAACTAGATTATATTATAAACCCTCTGAAATATTAAAAAAAAAAAACCCATGAACCATTATGTATTACCTATATATTGGCAGGTAATACATAATGGTGCAACCGACAAATGGATTAGACATTTTTCATAAATAATATTATCATCAGAATTTCCTGATTGAATTTATTATGTAAATTTGGAACTGTTTGAAAGAAGACTATAGTAATAATATAATTTAGTATATTATATTGACAATTGAGCTTGCCCGCCACCTATTTGTAATGGAAATTTCAATTTTTTTTTTCTATTATATTGCGCGTTGGCTATTTTTTCATAGTACAGCTAGATTTATCTAACTTTTCTGTCTATACAGTGCATACTGTACGAATCAATAAATATATATATATATATGTCCAATTAATGTCAAAAACGTGGTCTTCACAATGGTTCGGTGTATTTAGACTGTCATAAAAGAAGGTCGAACCGAATTTAAAAAGACACAGCCAACGAAAGGCGCATGTTTAGGGCTGCTAAACATAATAATAGATATGTGGTAGACTCTCGATTTTTTTTTTATGTCTGCTCTGGTAATATTAAACAAATAAATACGGCGTGCAGTCAGACGCGCCGGTAAGATTATATTCAATAGGGTCGTGTTCTTTGATATTGGAATAAAAAAAAAAAAAAAAAACAAATAGTAATGAAAATGAAAAAAAAAAAAAAAGGATCATGCGATAATTCAGCTGTCGGAAATCGGAATGCGCACGTAGTGAAAAGGCAGTGGAAATTAGACTTTGAAATTTATGTAAGAATGTACTGGGTACGGCGAATTGACACAAAATCAATAGTGTGTGTGTGTGTACATAACGGGAAAGAAAAACACTTTAAACTGTCAGTGGGAAGGCCTAATTAAACGGGAAAAAAATTCTGTCGACATTAAATAACTGGTATTGTTTGGAATTTATAATATATGTACACACTTTTGGAACGTGTCCGCGGCAGACGTTGAAAACGTTAAACTTGGACAAATCATTAGACGGGGTTGGGGTGTTGGTCAACACACTCGTTCTCATAAACAAAATATGTCAATCACAGTGGAATATTATATTATATTATATGATGACACTATCTTCTATCGCCCGCGCGCGTACACGTCAAACGTCAGTCTATATTTTTCATTTATTTATATAAATCCATACGGTTTTTTTTTTCTCGAAATCGACGTCACCTTCCAATGCAGATTTATCGACACGTTCCCCACACCTCTGAACTTTGTGTTTTACAACAAACACAATAATATTATCATTTCGTTGCCGGGTTACCGGGGGGGGGGGGGGCTTGGGGGTTATTTATTCGCCGAGCTTTCTAAACAACTTGGATTTAATGCCTCCAAGACCGTTAAACTCGGTTTAACAGTCTTGGCGGCTCCCGCGGGAGAAGCGGAGTGACCGTAAAACTATTAAAACGCAAATGTGCCCCGATAACGGCCGGCCAAATTCGTATTAAATGTAAAACCAGCGTCCAAGGCGATATTTAAGTTTCCGACGAACGTTACCGCCAAGATCTATGTGTGCGAATTACATGTAAATCTATTTTTCAATTGTCCGTTGTCGGTCCGAGAAGGTTAGGTACGATGGTTTTCGGCGTCACCGTCCGTAGAAAAAAAGAAAAATTATATATTTTCGCTAAAGGTTCATATTTTTATAATATAATATCAGCGTTAACGAGGAAAAATAAGTTTAGCAACATTACCCCACACTGCAGTACACCAACAGCTATTTGATTTTGATTATGATAATTATTATTATACTTGGCGATTTCATTTTGAAACGCTGTTTTCGTATTTTGCAAAATAACTTAACGGCCTTTCGGGTAATAATTTATTAGTAATTTTAAACAAAAAACAAGTTATTACACATAATGTTTTTACAGAAATTATGCAATAGTGTAGTATTATGATTTTCCAGCCCCGCAATAATTTATGTTAATAGATTTCGGTAAAAGCGTTTTTTATTCAAATTTTAATAGAGTAAGAGAGAGTAGGTGTATTTTGTTATTTAAATTGTTAACACAAATAATGCATTTGCTTAAAAATATAAAAATAATTTTAAGGAAAATAAAAAGAAAAAAACGGGAAAGTAGCTAAATAATTAAACTGGATGTGATTTTTTACATTATATGTATATATATATTATATTTTTTTTTTATATCAACAAATAATATACATAAAAAGCAATGGGGAAAAAATAGCGCGATAATAAATAAATTAGGTACAACTATTATTAAATTCTACTCTGTATGCATTTGTCCGGAGAGTATCGACCTTTGTATCTCGTATATTATAAGGATATAATGTGTCAACGTTGTGGAACTAATGATTCCAATCCCGCAGAGCTTTAGCCCAATACATTACTAGCCATATATATATATATACAAATATATCTGGGTTTAACTCTCGAGAGAAATAATTCGGAATCGTTTCTTTTTCAGTTACCATCTTTGGAGCGTTATTATCGCTCGAGTATGAAAATAAATAAACGGAAATATAGTTACACAAACTATATTATATCTATTGACATCAAATGTTATTAATTATTATTGTACAGGCTTACCCAACTTGTTCTGGGTGCCTAACATAATGTACAAGGATATCAGACAAAGCGTTTTTGAAAATAACATTTTTGAAACACACATCATACATAAAATTGTAAAACTAAAATATATATTTATTAACTTGATGTGACTTCTGTAAAACAAGGCCAGAGCAATTTTTTTTCTCTCTGGAACATTTCCCATCAGGACACTTTGAGAGCATTGCTCGGCATTCCGTCTGAAGTTGTATTGTGCACATTCAAAGGAGTACTATTCAGCGTTGAGGGTTTAATCCGAGTTCGTTGTAACGAAAGCAATTCTTTTAAAACTCACACACGGTGTGGGTGTATGGTATATGGTTTTTGCATACCTAGCCAATATAGTATACATACATATTATATTGATGTGGGGGATTCGTGCTGCAGCCGATGTCGCGTACAGCCGGACGGTTAGGTTAGGACTTGGGAGCAAAAAATCCAAAGTTGTGGTCTGTGTCAACCGTTTTGAAGGCGGCGCTATGTTGGCCATGGACTGATTTCCAGGATAAAGGTCGCGTTTCTCGGTAACCTCGATTACCCTCGGGTCTGGAATAACGTATAACGCTGTGTACATATTGTAATTATAGTATAATATAAGATTTGCGATTTCCCGGAGCGTTTTCTGAGTACTGTCGGACGTACTACAAGTTTTCATCCGGTCCAGTTCTACAGAATTCTTCTATACAACACACAATATATATATATATATAGTATTTTATACAGCTTGTAATTTATGGCTGCTCAATTTCATAGCGTCCGCGGTAGTAAGATTTTAATAAGACGCCTTCAGCGTAATAACGGACTAACATCAAAATAGCTTAGATCGTTTTTACATTGTAGAGACAGTTACAAGTACAGACAACTATTTCATACAGCTATACGATAAAAAAAACTCTTTGATGACTTGTGGTAAAATTTTTGCTTACAATCTTCTTGATATGCCAAAATCATACTTTTTTGTTATAAACTTGTACACATAGCTTAACATCAATCTAACCTAACTGTGCGCTCTGTACAGTTATCTCAAAAGTGAAGGATCTATAATGTATTATAAGAACTAAATAATATTATGCGCACGAGTCTATTTTTGTAATCATTCCATATA